CTGTCGGTGCTGGTGGAGGCCATGACAAGACTGCTGAAAAAGCGGCCAGAGACTTTCCTGATCAACCCCAGGGAGGCGATGGAGCGGAGCAAGGCCTGCTACAAGATGGGCGATGTTGTGCCGAAGTGGCAGGACGGGGAGAGACTTGCCAGGCACATAAGGAAGGTCAGTTTCTGTCTAATTTCCCGTCATCTCTAAAAAGAAAAACCCCCCACTTCCATACGGACAGAAGACTTGACTTCTGTTACACTTGGGAAGGCCGCATTTAGCGACATCTGTTTACTTATAAACTGAACTTTCTGGAAGCGGAGAGCGCCAGAAAGCCTACAGGTCGCTTCTTGTGTTGGGAGCTTGGTAGAAGAGATAGGCTCGCAGTACGTAGAGAGAGCTGCTGAAACAACTATACTCATCTACAGCGATTTGCAAGTTTTTAGCTTCGAACGAAGACTTCTTAGTAAGAAATCATTTATTTTATTTAAATTATCGCCTTTCTCGGTTTCTTCACAATGAAGGCTCGTAAATAATTTAGACTTAAGAATATTATCAGCTATAATTTTTTGACCCAGTCAACATTTATGCAATGACGTTACGCCTTATATCTCATTTTCGAGCATTCGATGAGTTGAAATTAATCATTTTTCTCTATGATGAAGACGAATTTCAAGCAAACAAGTTCCCAAGGAATTTTTTCTTTTGCTAACAGTTTTTCTTTCTTCATTTTTGCAGTTTTTTCGATTAATTGCATTCCTCGACGATTTCACGCAGCAATGCATCCCATATATCCAGAGCGTTCAACACACGTTCCATGTTCTATTACTATCCCATCTATTTCCCCCTTTTTTCACATTTACAATGATACCAATTTGAAAAAGAATCGCCAGTTAACTCTTGGCACAGAAAAACATGTTCATGGAAGAAAATAATTTTTTACGAGGGATGCATGAGTGCGGACAAATTTTGACTCATTTCTGATAACATTGTTTGTCATGATTCTGTAAATCATTATATTTGTGGCAGGTTGAAATGGATGGTTTGACTGGACACATCCTGTTTGACGATGTTGGAAAACGTCGTGAGTTTGGCGTAGATGTGGTGGAAATGACCATGCACAGCGAAACAGTCAAGGTAAGACTTATTTCTCAAGGAAAATATACTCATGTGGATTCATAAATATTTTTAAATATCGAACGAGCTACTTAATATGTGAAAAAATTAATCTCTTGAATATCCTGCGAATAACGGATATTCATTTAAGCATCGGCTTCACTGCCACTCTGTTTGCATCGAAAATGTAAAACGGGGACATTTTTGGAAGGCTTTAAATTCAATGGGTTCCAGGAAATGTAACATCAGCCTTTTTTTGCCGAATATTGAACCAGTGATTGGAGGAAATTTTTCTCTACCAAAGGTATAAGCAAACTTAAAATATGTCTCATCGTATACCATATTTCCCCGCAAAGAGGGAAAAAATAGAAAGAAAACTCAATAAAAACGTTGGATCCTAAATTGCATGCCGTTAGAATTTGAGAAGACGTTCAGATCCTGGAGCGAATCTTCGTATCGCATAAATAAGATTGCTAATTTCTTCCGCTATTTGCTCAAATACACGTCGGGCTGAGATATCCTAGAGAAATACCTTGCCGTCTGGTATGCAAATTTTACTCGAAAATAACCCTTCCTCATCTCCAGTTTTTTATTCGAATTTGTCGAGTTCCTTCGCCAACATGCATCATTTAAAGGATTCCTCCATCGTGCTTTTGGAAAAAGAAAACAGGGCACGTTCAAGGTTTACAATTATTTTTAATGAGTTATAGTTCAAACCAAAGATTGAACATGCCCGAAAAATGAAATGATTTAAAAGCAGACAAAATTCGTGGACTCACTACAGTATGATCTATTTTAATACAGTTTTTGAAAATTTCAAAGCTCATTAAAATTGAATTTGCATGGTATTGAATACAGAAGAATGTGGAAATAATGTAGCTCTTTATCGATGGAATCATGGAAGGAGAGGTTTACTGTTTTTTTATTATTAACAAGCCTTTGTTTTTTTTGCAGATTGGTGGATGGAAAGATGGCGTGGGGTTCACAGCAGTTCCTGCCAAGTACAAGAAAGTTCAGGCAAACAACACATTAGCTGCTGATAAAATCTACATTGTCACCTCAATTTTGGTAAGGTTTGTTTTCCATTAGTTTTATCTTTGTGGATTTTTAGATTCCAACATGTTGCATCAATTTTAAAACCTGAATAAATGACAAATCCTTGATCAATTCTTCTGTTAGCCTAGATTTTTGGCCAAGAAATAGGCAGCAATTTTTCAACTCGAGTCACAATTATCCCATGTATACTGTAATTGCTGCTGAAACTCATTTCATTTTCTGATAAATTGTTTTGAAAATTCCCCAAGCCTCGCTACCAATATTTATGAAACTCAACATGGGCCACACCGCAGTCTCAAACCTAACCCTGAGATAATCCAGAAGAAATAAAACTGTTTCTTCGACATTCACCAACTTTCCGACCGGAACGAGTAATGCAGCAATTCTGAGATTTTGGAGAATCATTCGGTCCTAAAAACGCACCTCATTCCCACCATTTTTTTCCAATTAACAAATTCGAAGGTTTTTGCTGTGAGTATAGCCACTTTTCTGCTGAATTCTAAAAAAGTATTTTAAAAAATTTGACCACATGCTGTTGTGTGTGGTATTTATGAATGCGTGAATACGCAGAAATGTACATTTCGATCGCAAGCGAAATAACGAAAAACAAAACGCGCCGAAGAATTCTCCTGGAGTTCCGGATTTTCTCCATTGCTTTCCAATGCCACGTGGCAGCGAAACCTCGGTCGAAAAACTTCTCGGTCGTTATTTTTCCGCAGCTTTCTTCTCGACACTACAGCGCTTCGTTT